TTTAAAAAGAACATTTTTTATGAATTTCTAACTCAAAATAATTTGCAAATTTTCGCATGATTTTTTAATTTTTTTCATCTGCCTTTGAAACAATTACTAGGAGCCTTCTTTTAAATGCTCAAGCTTTTTTAACCAACAAGTAAAATGTTATTGATATATATAGAAAAAAAAACTAAAAAAAAAATAACTGAAAATGTCCGTAAACATCTCAAAATAAATCAAAATATTTGGAAAATGTTATGGTGTATAGAAAATGCTAATATTGCTAAAATGCTTAACATTCAGTCAAAATTAAATGTACTTACGGTCATTTGTTTAAGAGTTGCACAAAAAACCAAAATCAATTTTTTCGAAAACAGTTTTCGCTTGAAAATTCTTGTTTTTCCTTAATTTTTCTTTTGTTTTTCACGGCGTTTTTGAAAACTACTAGAAAAATTTTACTCTTGACCTCTCAAAGTACCAACTAGATTCACTTTCCTTTCAGAAAATATACTGTTGAAGAAAATCCAAGCACTTTTACTGTCCTAAAAGGTGATGTCAGACACAAAAGAAATAAACATTTTTTTTTATTTTAAACAATAATATTATATACAATCTGTACGTTTATGCACAAATATAATATTTGATAAGAGTTACAACTATACATGAAATACTTGATAATAGAAGCCACCCACTAGTGGCACTTGACAAAATAAAAAATTTAAAAAAACACACATCATTGTAAAATCAATACATTCATCGTTTCACTCAGAATCTAAAATGTCATATTGACATAAAAAAATCAATATGATTTTTATTTTATCTCCTGATGTATAGATTCAGTAGGAATAACCTGTACGCATATGGGAAATAACTTATGTAAGTACCTTGGTATTTTGTATAATGTATGTATTTTTTACCTTTTTATTCGTGATAATTGTTTATTTTGTAGTTTATTTGACTACAGCAATTGTATACATTAGCCCGTATGCACGACGTAAATTCAATGTACCTACTTATACAATGGATTTTTTGTTTTTTATGACATCAAATACCTTTTACAAAAACCTTTACGTTTTAATAATTTAATGTACAAGTATACCTAGAGTAAATAATGCATAATCGTGCATATGTTATGTATTGTATGTATAAGCCATTAAAATTAATTGTTTTGTATGATGTAATACCTATAACTTAGGTATACGTTTATTTTAATTCTGACTCGTTTCGAATCTAATGGTGACCAAAGTGAAAAAATTCCAAACGCATTAGTAGTATAAGTAGTATATATTTTATTTTGTTAAAATAACAATAAATAAGAAACATAGTTCATATAATTTGTTTTGAAAATAAGATTACTTATTTATGTAGGCGTATTAAGAGTAGGGTAATCAATTGTACAACTATTTCTGTTAGTTCTTCAAATGCGTATTACTACGCTATTAATAACAACAACTGTGTGTTTGAATTTGAAATATTCATTCAATTTAAATCGTTGTAAGCTACAATACAGTTTAACCAAACATTCATTGTAACAACTTACAATTATAAAAGTTCCTATTTTATACTCAACAACTTTTTCATGGCAATAAATATCTGTATATACTGTATAGTGTATTCTTACTTACAAAATACAAATTAAAGTACTAAAACTAAAAGGAAGTATCAAGTAGGTATAAAATAAGAATAGACTCTCAATCTATTATTATAGTCTTGTTAGCTATTTTAACTAGGTATGCAAACTTTCCTCAGAAGATAACATTTTAGCTAGTTGCCTTATTTTTAGAAGTAATTACTTACGGATACCAAATTTGTATTATATAATATATTTTATATTATATATACGTTAATCTTAAATTACTTTGTTGTAACCATTAATATGTGAACTATGTCTCGATCGGTGACTAATTTTACATTTTATTTGAATGACGTTGCTGTGATTTACTTGTATATGATTAATACTACTTTTTACTTATTTACTGCTACTTACTAGTATTAATGAGTAATGTACCTAATAAAGGTTTTTCGGTTTTTCCATTAGTATATGACTATTAAATTATCGGACTTGAGCCACATTCTTTCGAGGCATATAGTAGTTTTACTTAAAATACCATTTTAATGCATTTTTTTTAGAAAATCCATAAAACAATATAATATATATTATATAGGCCTTGGAATACAATTTGCTTTATTTATTTCTATGTTCGTTTTTACGATAGTGCGACTGTTCCTCGATAATATCTTTAATCAATTCAATTATGACCCACATAAATTCGTGACGTTGAATTGTTAAGAATTGTCTATTTTCTTCTATTTTTTACGAGAGTTACAGCATTATTATTATAATTTTATTATCTAAAATACTTATAAATGTCCCAAAAAAATGTATGAACCATGAACACGTCATATTATTTATATCTAAATTCAAATTTCCTTTAATTGATGTTAGGTAGTTATAATGCGTTATTATTTCAATACGTCGCCTATAGTATAATATATTTTTTTATGTAATTTTATAATTGTCCTAGGTCTAGGAGCATGAGTTAGTATCTTATTGATATGCAATTATTCACACTATTATAGCCGATGTATTATTCATAGAAACCAAATTATTGCTAATTATGAACCGAGTATAAAAAAACATTTTTTGTTAATTAAAAAGTAGGTAACTTATAACCTAAGAATGCTTTGAACTTAGCTTATCAAGATATGAATTATTTTTCTAGTTTGTCTAAATAAGAATTTTTAATATTTTGTTTCTGACTCGCGTAAGCACTAAGCGATGACATCTACAAGTCACGTACTAACACCATTTATAAGCGATCCATCAAACCGTCATACATAATAAATATATGTTATGCAAAAATATAAAAGTACAATATTTCTTTGGTATTTATATTACTTACATTCACATGCACGAAATTAAGAGGATGCCACACCCGTATTTGTTATTATAGTCGCACATTTGTATAGCGTATAATTTATGTACCTATAGTGCATTAATGTTTTATTACAGTAAATCAAAATAAATATAGACCATACACAGTACCTTGGAATGATTCAATAATTACAAGTTTTTAAAAATATTTATAATTTAACCATCATATTAAATTGTTCCAAAATTTAAATTTAAAAACTCCACGTTATTGCATCAATGGGTAGATACAATTTGCATTCATTAAATTATTGATTGGTAAATATACAGTATACATTATGCTGTTTAATTACTAACGTTCCTAATAAACTAATATAATAATATAATGTACCAATAAACATCTATAATAAAACTGTATGAGTAATGCTCCAAGTAAAAAAAGCTCGCTATGTGTGAGACCAAGACCACTGCAAACAGCTGCTGGTGTCTCGAATTATTATATTTTGATGTTTGTTGTATTATTTTTTTTTTATATTACATACATCAATAATGATTAAACGAATAGTTGAGATTAAATTACAATTTTTGAATATGATGAATTCATATTTGATATCTATGACATAACCATATACGTGTATACAAATGTTTACGATAGGTACTACGATAGTGAATGTGTATTTGTGAGTAAATCACATTCTGCCTATTGCGAATAGCTTTATGACATCACCAACTAGTTTTTCCACTAATAGACGGAACACTAGACCTAAACAATAAATTGTTTGAATATTAATTTGATTTTTTTCTGTTTTGTAGTCTGTAAACGTATATAATAGGAAACAATTGGTATAAAAATATTAAGGTCACAAAAAATATCTTTGAAAATTATTTATGATAGGTATAGTAATATTATTAATGTTAGTAGTAGTATATACAGTGCTTGGAAGGAATGCGTTCAAAGGAACTAGTTCCAGTAATTTCGTTCAATGTTCAGGAACTTAACGCGAAATTAGTTATTTTTTCGTTTGAAGGAACATATTGGAATTGCGTTCATTTTTTGGAGGAACATAAACGATTTTATTATTCTTTTTTTCATTCATTTATTCTATTGGGAATTCAAATAATTTTCAGATCAAAAGTTTTTATAATTTTTTTTTAGAAATGTAATCAATAGGTTGACTCGTTGATCATATATTATAAAACTTACTTTTGTTTGTACTTTGGCTTTTTAGCGGTATTTCAAATACAATATAATATAATTATTATAAAATATTATATGATATTATAATTTAAAAATGTTGATTATTTCAGAAAAAATTAGAAATTGTGTAAAAATTAACGCCGTGTCCTACGTGAATTAAAACAGCTTGTATTTCGCCGTATGAACAGCATGGTTAGAATAGAATTCGCACGCACTCGCCGGATTCATGTAGGAAACGGTGTAAGAAAACTAATAGTATGCGCTGACATATTTCAAAGAAGTTACTTATTTTGATGCTAAACATGTGAAACGTGTTAAAACTTTTTTTATGACACATCGTTTTCGGATTAACTTATATTCATTATCAAGTTATACCTAAATTATAAATAGGTATTCCTCTCTATTAAATAAATTATATTTGTTTTCTCATTAATTATTATAATGTTACATAATTATTAAATTCAAATATTTTAACTACCTGTACTATATTCACGATTCAGAAAAATAAGGAATTTTATCATTTCAATTTCTGACGTACCGTATATTATGACGTGTGCAACTTATAATCACAAGTAAAACTTTTTGAGCTTTATTTCATTTCCCACAAAACTGTTTTTCGTAAAATCAAATAAAAACGAAGTACGTGTTCTGAATTTAAAAAAAAAATCATTTCTTCACTTTTGGATATATTGTCTACTTATAATAACATATTATAATGTAGTAAGGTATATAGTCTTTATGCCTGTGTTATGTTAGCCGTTAGGTACTTATATTTTGTTTTGATGGAGAACTTAAAAGAATTTTCTAAAATATACCGGAATAATAATTATAATATATAATATTATTATTGTTTTCTTTTGTACTTATTTAAAATTAAAATTTCCTTATTCAGTTAATTGTCAGTTTATTATTTATTTAGTTTACAATCTATCAAATTGAGCATTTAACATGAATGATAGTCATATTAAAATGAACGTAACATCGTGCGATTTGGTTACTGGAGCACATATTACACATATATACATAAATCAAACTCCAGATAATTTAAATGAAAAATCATTAGATACTAAATTACTCGTCAATGGGCCTGTTGAATTTAATAAATCTAATTCTACGTTTGCGTCGAAAGAGTCCTCGTCACTGTACTCTAGCAGTATTAATGATGGTAGGGATGCAGTGGTGAATATCTTAAACAACGCAACTCCATATGAATATTCTAAAGTTGTTCAATCTTCTCAGTTGAGACTAGACAATAATGGATCATATTCTTGTCATATATGTGTTAATGATAATGCCGCTCTGAATTCAGTATGCGAAACTATTAATACTGATGTGACTCGTCCAGTATGCGATGCTGATACAAATTATACTTATCCTTCATCAGAGGATGATGAAAGTTATTGTGGATATTCTATTGCTGATATCAGTGATATCGATGATCTATCAGATAATATTTTAAATGATTGTCAATCTAGTCCACTTAGGGAACAAACGAGGGTACAAACTAATGGTTCTAGTCATGGCTATAATTCCAGTGGGGATTCTGAAGCTGATGGAATTATAACGTTTCTAGACAAGCGTAATAATGAAGTAAGTATAAGTATAATTATAATTAACTTGCTGGTTACTTGGATAGCAAATTCTAGTATTGACATAAGACTTTAAAACTAGTTATTTTGTTTTACCTGTACATTGATCTATTTATTATGTTTACTAACAGTGCATACTGCACATATCTTTTAGGAAGTACTTTATATGGTATTTATAGTTAAGCTCTTGATCGTAAATATTTCAAATATTAAATAGCTTATTAATTTAAACATTTTATTTTGTTCTAGGCTGAAGCTCGTTTGGCTGCAAGACGTCAAGCCCGTGCTGAAGCTAGAGAAATTCGTATGCGAGAAATTGAACGGCAACAAAAAGAAGCCGAAGAAAATGCAGACAAAGCATTTGACATGCATGCAGCAGGCAAGTAAAAAATAAACTTTTATCTCTATGTCTGTATGTATGATATTCTCAAAGATATAGGGTATTGTCTGTACATGCTGGGTATATCTGATTTTGTATCCAGGGTTACAGTTGAAGAGCAGCAGATTACGTTAAGTATAGTATTATCCCAATATATGTGAGAAAAAATCTTAAAAAAAAAATAAGATGGCCAAAACAAATATGAACAAATATCCAAGTGAAACAATGTTGGTGGGAAGGGGGATATATCTGAGCGAAAATGTATCAGAGGACGTATATAATTATACAAATGTTATCAAAATGTATAATATAATGTTGAACATTTAATAGGTTAAATAATATAAAATACAAGAAAATCTTTTTATATTATATTATCTGCTTATTCCTTTTACATAAAATACAAAACATAAATATTTTACAAATACCTATGGTAATAAATATAATAAAAATAAATGCTTAAAATAGTATCCATTGCAAAAAAATGTAAACAATAACAATGGCAGGAACATTGTTTCCCGTGATTGACTTGATACCCATATATCTTATAAACACTATATTATAAGATGTTGAACGAATATACTTACTCTATAAAATCAACATTGTCTTAATCCCAAACTAAACACCTGTTCATAAGTATATTCAAATTTTTGTTTCAACAGTTGTTATACATTCCAAAATCATTGAAATACATTGTTAACACATTGCTTGACATTGTCGTCATGTACTTGACTATACTCAGCCTGTTCCGAAATCTAAGCGTATTGGTTTAATATTTTTTCCGCTAACAAATTAGGCTAAGTATTCAACAAGTATTGTCATTGAAAAAAAACTTTCATGATCAATTGTTTTATATTATATTCATCATTTATAGCCCAATTACTGGGACAATTTTCCAGAGCCATCTTGAGAAATAATCTTCTCATCCATGAACACTCTTCATCTGATTTTTCAAAAGGTTGACCAAATGAGAACTTGAACCATACAATACAGTAAATACCCTCATTGGGTTTATTTCTGATTATGCACATTAGATATGACTTGGGTTTGGATTTTGTAAAACATTCATTACATATTTACATTTGACTCTTCTTTATTATTTATTGAACATTATGCACTTATCATAAATAAGGAATCTTTAATGTTAGGTTTCATAAGTAGGAAATGTTCCAGTTTTAATTATCTTTAAGGCTTAAAATCAGCTTAAAACCAAAAATATTTTTTTCCCAAGCGTTTAATGGCTAATTTGAATTTGTTGAAGAACACCATGGCGTACTTTTTATTCATTATGTCGCCAAAGTGACATTGAGGTTGAATATGATTATGTTGATTATGCTAGTTTTGGTGCCATGTGACAGCTTTTCCCACGACCCCCTTGCTGAACCAGAACTGATGACCTCCAGTTCGTTAACCAGTCAACACTCGGTTCTTGAGAACTTTGCAGCCAATGCTACCTACGAACACTTATAAAAAGTTTTACTCTTTGATGAGATTTTGCATTTTGAGCTGAACTCCAGCAATGGTGGCCATGGCGGTTGACTCGTGTCTCTACTGTACATACGGCTTGAGGTTCTATTCGGGAGTGTGTACTTGCCGCGGTCGGTAACGTCGTAGTTTTCGTGACCCTGCAGTTGGAAATGTTCAATTTCTATAGCTAAGCTGGAAAATGTAGTACAAGGTTCCTCATAAGTCATAAATTCATACTTAAACCAATAATTGTCAAAAATATACACACAATTATTTTTCTTTATAAACAATTATATAATTTAAATAAATGTGTACAATAAATTAAAGAATATTAAAGAGAAGATAAATTAAAATAGTTATTAATTTAGATTATAAAATATAGTTCTATAAATATGGCTAATTTTTAAGGTTGTTCGTTTTTATTTATTTGAGTACCATTTTATACTCGATTACACGTTTGTTTGGTTTATGATAAGTGACACTTCAAAGTTTTATGATTAAGTTCCTATAATTAAAGAACTGTTTGATTAAGATAAAAAGTACTTTGTTTAAATATTTATGTTAAACAATATTTATTTTATTATTTGAATTTATCTTTTAGATGGGCCTATAGCAAATCGAGTATCACGAGTAGCTGCTAGTACTGCCAGTCCTAGAGCAGCCAGTTCTATACATAATACTAACAGTTACCAATCTAGTCGACGCAATTCAGTTGATTCTCTTGATGAATCTACTCCTAACTTTCGAGATTTTAGGGTATGTCTGAGTGATGTAATTCTAAATAATTTAAGAAATAAATAAAAATATAATTTTTCAGATGGAATTAAAAGACTTAGAAGAAAAGTTTCGAAAAGCTATGGTACAAAATGCTCAACTTGACAATGAAAAAGCAGCTGTGACATATATGGTAGAATTATATAAAGACAAGTACACCGATATTGAAGAAGAGCTTATGCATATAAAAGTATTTGAAATAATTTTATAATTATTAAGAATTGTTTTTTTAATTTAATATTGTTTGACTGATTTATAGCGAGAACATAAAGAGAGTTGTAGGGAAAACGAAAAATTAAAACGTTTATTGGCTACTCAAAAACTAGAATCTATAACACTTCAACAAGAATTAGAAGAACGTGATAAACTCATTGAGGTAAATTAATATTCTAATCTAATATTTAATTTATAATTTTATATACATTATCAGTTTTTCCTTTATTTATTTTACTAACAATATTTTAATAACCAAACAACTTTAGTTATAAAGTTAGAATTTTATGTTATAGGACATATTCTTGACTAAAATTAGTGTAATTTGTACAGTATTATTTCGTTCAGTTATATATATTTATTTAATTTTAAAAATCCTGTAGATTGATTTAAAGTTACTTTAAAATAACTTTGAACAGTGAAAAAAATTATCAAAATAGTATTACGACAAACATCAAACAATTATTACTAACCACAAACTAAAATAATGTGGATTAGTTGGTTTACACTCTTTAAATAATACATAATTATTATGATTGTAATTTCAGGAAAAAGGACTAGTTATTATCAGCACAGAACAAGAATGTTGGAGTGAAAGTGACCAATGTAATAATAAAATAAAACGTGCCTTAGTTTCTGTTGAAAATGCTCAATTGTTACAAGATGCAGGAGAAGGTTGTTTAGGTGTGTATATAATTGTCAGTTTGTTTCACCTTACTTAAAGTATATACATGTGTTATAATTGTGTTATACATTGTGTTATAACTCATAGCTAGGATTATAAATTAAAGTAAATATATAATATATACTGAGATGTACCCCCCCCCCCAAAATGTAGGTCCACCACTCTAATCATCATCAAATAAGTGTAACAAGGGCTTAGGAGTGGTAGAAGTTGCATATTTTACAACCTGAAACATTTCCACACATCATCTTTATTTTTCATATATTTTAAAAAAACAATTTTTCATATATTTAAAACAACAATTTTTAATATAGTAATATACAATAATACAACAATGTTGATAAATAATAATAAATCAGATTTTATATTTGTATACATTCTTTTTTTGTAATTATGAATAAAAATCTGCTTATTTGGTCTATTCTAGCTCTTATAAGACAATAAACAAATACTAAGAAATCTAATTTTATTTAAAAAAGAAATGCTTAGTAATATCTCACAAAACAATATTTTTAAAAACAACAATATAGAATATAGTATCACCCTGCATATAATAGCGTATGTTTCGTACAATGATACATGGTGTTCTTAGTACTTCTTAGTACTGGGATTGCATAATATTTATTAATTTATTTTTATCATTTACTAATGTAAATATTATGGGATTATTCAGATGTACGACTCAAAAAGTTTACTGAAGAACGCAACAGCTATATAGATGAAATTAACCAGCTCAAATTAGAGTTGCAAGAGGCCAAACGTCATAGTGACAATCATTACAATGGTACAGACTCAGACGATTTGGAAGATGCCCAAAGTAAGATTGGCTGAGTGACAATTGCAATTTTAAAAGTACAAATAATATAATTTAATAATTCATTTTTTTTAATAGAAGAAACTAATAAAGTTCTTGGTGATTATAAATTCAAGTGGCAAAAGGCTGAACAAGATATTTCTACATTACAAGCAAATGTAAATTAATTAATTAAAAGCCATTATTTTATTTACTAGGTTCATTTTATCTAACATGCATTAACATAATTATATTTAATTTCAGGTTGCTAGGCTGGAGAGTCAAGTTATTAGATATAAAACAGCTTCTGAAGCATCTGAAAAAGCTGAAGATGAACTGAAATTGGAAAAACGAAAACTACAGCGTGAGGTATTAAATATTGTTTGTAAAATATTTTACTTTATATTAAACATAAATATTTAAATTATATAATAATATATATTTTATAAATGAAAAGTAAACAAATAAACTCAATAAATAATTTTATTTAGCCTTCAATTTTAGCTAATATTTACTGTAAATAAATTATAATAATAATTTGTAATATTTATTTTCACTTAAACCAAATGGTTCCCAAAGTTTGCGCCGGGGTTTCTTTATTGGGGCACCGCACTGCTGAAGAATTTTATAAGGTCCAAAAATAAACTTGAAACCCCAACGATTGCGGTGACAGAAACAATTACGATTATGTAAATAAAAATGTATAAATTATGCATAATTTAAATAAAATAAATATTTTCATATGACCCATTACAATTTTTACTGGTTTTTATGATTAGTTACGATAATATTACATGGGGAAGGTAACCTGAAACAACCTTGGTCGAAATAAGGCGCCGCAAGCTAACAAAATTAGGGAACTTAATAGATATTTTATTTTGTTTTAGCTTCGAGAAGCTCAAGCAAAAGTTGAAGAGTTGGAGACATCCAATATGCATTTGTTAAAACGCTTTGACAAATTAAAGAACGCCAAATCTAGTTTACTGAAAGATTTATAATATACTATGTTATTCACTATCGAACAAAACTGAAAGTAATCATTTTTCTCAATTTAATTACTGGAAAAACACCATACATAAAATTTACTTATTTTATTTATTTTTATTAGACGCTATTTGTTGTGCAATAAAATCTACATTCATCATCAGTGTCATATCACACAATAGATAATGGAAAGATGTGCAAAACAGGATAAGAAACATAAAATAATTAAAAACCTAATTTAGTATATAATTTTTTGAATAATTAAATTTATATTAATAAATATTTAATAACAAAATACTAATAATTATAGAAAAATATAATTTCCATGTAAAAATTGTTTTATTTAATTAAAATTACAATCTAACATTATCATTTTATAAATGTTTTATTTTATATTAAGTATATTATTTAATTATCATTTTATTTTGAAATAATAAAATTCTTTATTTTTGTTGATTTGACTTTTGTTCCAAAGCTATCAACCAATAATCCAACTTTTATTGATGGTAAATGTTTTTATTATTAGTACTTCTGTATTAGTTGAACCTTGTTAAACCAAAATTAGTGGCTCACTCTATTTATAATTTATTACTGAATATTTTATCTAGTATATTTTCTATGAATACTCTACTATAAATTTTAAATTTACTTTTCCTAAACTTGAATTTTTATAAACATCATAACAATACATTATAAAATCATATATTAATCTCTTTATCGCTAATGTGTATACTTGGACATCTTTATTAACAAAACTTGTATGTATATTGTATTTGTTTTATTATTATTATTATTATTATTTTTATTATTATTTTAATTACTTTAGTAATATGAATGTGTAAATAGGTATCACATGTAAATGATACTTGTCTATTTACTTTTCTTAACAAGATAAAATTACCAATGATTTATTTTATATTAGAAAAAAGTAAGCATTTGAGCATCTTTTAAAATATTCTCTTAAATGTTGCTATCTAATACTGAGATTAGGTAATAGAAATATTTTAAAGTTAAAGTTTGTAATTTTATAGATTTATTATACTATTTGAGTTTTGAAAAAAAAATACAAGACATGGTAATTTTATTTTGTTATTCATTCATGTACTTTTCGATTAAAATTAATTTACTATACTCAGTTTCATGTAAGACTAGACTCAGACAGATGGCTTTGCCTTGGATAAAATGCATCACTTTATTATTCCAACAACCGCCTAGTCTGAATTTTGCTTAGATTAATATTGTTGAGAAAATTTTTGTCATGGAAAATTAAAACTAATTTATCTTGAGGTGTGATGGTTTTATCAAACCGTATGAAAATAAGACGTCACGTGAGCCTATTCTTATATGAGACAGAGGTTCTATGTAGTTAAAAGTTATGAAATATATATATAAATTACTACAGATAATATGTTGTATTTATTAAAAATAATAATAACAATCATTTAGTATAGTCTACTTATCTAATTTTTATATTTATAAACTATTAAAAATAAAATTGTTTTTTAAAAAAGTAACAAAATAAATTAAAATGCATTTTCATAATAAATGTATTTATTATCTATATATATAAAAATGAATGTATGTCAGTGTGTGTGTCTGTGTGTCCATATTACCATGGCAACCAATTATATATTATTTTGAAATATCCGATGGAATGTTTTGTATATAAATGGTTGCCATGGTGATGTGTAAAACATATTATTCATATATGGAGTTGGCAATTTTAATGGGCAATGAAGAGCACGGGATCAGATATTTTTATATATATAGATAAATTCGACCTCTGTGCAGAAGATATAGGCTAATTTAAAAAAGGAAATGACCAACCCCGGGAGGTGCTCAAACAGGGATTTCGAGATTTCCTATGGACATTTTTGTTTATAAATGGTTGCAATGGTTTTGAAGCTATTATAATAATAATTATTATTGGTTGCCGGCAACGAAGTGCACGGGATCATTATTAGTTGCCGGGCAACGAAATGCACGGGATCATTTGGTACAGAGATAGGTTAGACCTCTGGGCAGAAGATAGGCTAATTTAAAAAGGGAGAGGACCAACCCTGGGATGAGGTGCTCAAACAGGGATTTTGAGATTACCGATGGAAATTTTTGTTTATAAATGGTTGATGTGGGTTTTAAAGATATAATAATAATAATTATTGGTTGCCATTGCCCATTGGTTTAAAATTGTTGTTATGGTAACCGTTATTTTATAAAAAAAACATATTATTCATATAGAGTTGGGCAACGAAGTGCATGGGATCAGCTAGTATTATAATAAAATAAAAACATTAACTTGTCTGGAAAGATTGGTAACACCCTATACTGCATAATATTACCTTTGATTTTAGAATATACTGATAAGTATTAATATACAGAGTGACTAAGTTTATTGGTGTTATCATTTAACAGTGAAGGTATCCACCATTGTAATGTTAGACATGTGTAGTGATTGGTCTGTAAGTGAATGCTATTAACTTCTTGCCACAATTGGCACAATTTATCTGTATATTCTAAAATCAATGATACATATTATTTACTTATGTTTTAAAATATGATTAATGAATATTTATACATTGATTTATATGTATTTAGAATTATATTATTTATTATTAAATCCTAAACAATGTAATACTAACTAGATGAAATTAAAATATCAAACCTATACTTATAAGTATAGATCATTGAAAACAATATCAAAATTATTTCTTATACTAAACTCATGTTTCAACCGCTTTTTTTATGTGATTTTATTTTCTGAAACTTTCTACCCAATAATTTGAAAATGTGACTTATGAAATTTGAACTGTATTAGCAGTGCTATAAATAGGCTAAAGCCACTGCCTGCCCAATAGTATACCTATTTGTATATAACAATAAACAATAATATGTAGGCTAGAAAATCTAGTTTCCACCGTACCTTTAATTGTACAAACATTTTAAGTTCTAGAGTTTGAAAATGTAATGCAAGATTCCTCATAAGTTTGGTTACCTTTATAAAAAAATACATTTTTTTCTATAAATATCAATGAAGTTCTATCTGTTGGGCAGAAAAGTGTAAAAATTTAATACAAGGCTCCTGATATATTGTTACAATATCAATTGAAAAATATTAAAAATACATAGGCACAATTTTTTTATAAGCATTTAATGATCGAATTTTGACAAAATTTATCAAATTTAAAATTGAATGATTATTTTGTAGTTAAAAATGTTCAACTTTTTAAGGGTTGAAAACATAAAACAAGATTCCACGTAAGTAGTTAATTATGTTACCAAAAAACCTAAAAAATACATTACCACAGTTTATTTTTATAGTAATTTTAAGTTCAAATTTGGACGAAATTACATTTTAAAAACCTAGAATAACTATTTTGGTTATTTTGTTGTGATTGTATACTATTATTTGTGGGTAATTGAAACTTCTAAAGTATTCTATTATATATCTATTATAGTATCACGGTTTGTTGTTGATGTATAACAAGTTATAAGTACGTACCTAATGGCTATTGTGATATAATTAATTTTGAATTTATTATAAGTACAATTTCTTTTTTATATTATAATTTATATTTTATTTTAAGGGCATTTAAACAATTAAACTCCATGAAGTCACATGTAGTCCAAATCTTAGGGATAAGAGTTCATTTTGGAATGTAGAGAAAAACTTGAACCCTAGGCGTAAGATGATAAATGTGTGTTATAAATTATGCAAAAAAAAAATTAAAAATGGTGTTCTGCTCTACAGTAGGTTACAAGGGTGTCGGTATATAATGGATGGTATTAAATTTGAATTCAATGATATATCATTGTATAAGAAAAACGATTCTGAGCGGAGACGGTATGTCAGTCTAGGTATAAGACATTATATAGTAACAGCTATTTATTGGATGGGGACTACTCTATAGGTATCGTTTTATATAATGGGAATAATCTATGGAACTTCCACCACTATTTTTATTTCTTTCAGTTATTTTTATTTACCTCAATGTTAACAAGGATGTAGGAGATATAAAATAAAATAAATGATTACATAAAAAAAATAAAGAGACTCAGCCGATGCCTGCTCGATTCCCGGCCGCGGGTGTCATTTTTCTTCAGTCAAGTCACGGCGACCAGAGAAGAAATGCTGCCATCCCTCCTCCCGGGGCCAATTTATTAATATAAAAAAACTGTCTGAATATACTAGACTAAAGTAGTAATTTCATTGTTAACAAACATTTTTTATTGAATACCTACTTAATTATAATTAACAAGCTCTTATCCATTTGAAAAGTATATAACAGACTATTAACCTTAGTATTTAAAAAACAACAACTGAGGAACTTTGCGTTCAAATTTCTATTACCATCCGTCAAGATATTTAGAAAAATCATCTATTTTTAATTTGCATTAATAATTTAAATTTAACCATTGTTGTATCGTGTCAGATAATACTCCTTAAATGTTGTAATAAATCCAAGTAATCAAAAATATTGTCATTAACTAATATTAAAAATGCAGAAATCAGTATTTAAATATAAGCATAATTTAAACATAAAAAAGGGTGAGCTAAATTATTGGAGCGTATAGTTGTTATATGGTTATCGTTGTTTATAAAATGAAGTTTGATCGGTTATTTTACTTTAATATTATGGATACACTAGAGGAAGGTATGAATAAATAAATAAATATTTGTTTTTCTTTGTGAAGTTGTGCATGTACACTTTAAATAATATATATAGAAATATTAAAAATATATATTGTTTTATATTATTAATGGATATGGAAAAAAAAGTAGTGGTTAGTAGAGGTTTGAATTTAGTTTTTTCTATTAGCTTAACTTGTCTTCTAAACGATATTATATAAATTGGTTGCAGCATGTTGTATAGCACTTATTATATTTGTATGTACTTTTAAATTAAAGAAAAATTATAATTCACAATAAAATCAAACTACAAATAAATAGGCTTTAATTCAAACATAATATGTTTATTGTATTATTATATAATAGATTACATTGTTATAAATAATACTCATATACGAAAAATTTTAAAAATGGAAAATAAATTCTATGTGAATTTAGATTTTGGTTCAAGGATTTTAATACTTTATGAATGCACAATGCAAAAACACAGTTTGAAAATGAACTAAGCATCCAAAACTAAAATTATTTTATAATTAATTTTGTCCTGCTAAAATCCTTTTTGGAACACTATGCGTAATCCTTGTTACTTATTGTTTTTATTCTATTAACAGATTGCAATATATTTTAATTAAATAAAAAACAGTTATATATATATATTGTTATACCTATGTATGTAGAATATTATAATAAAAAAGATTAAAAATTGAATTATTATAAAAAAAAAAAAAGTACTAACACATAAAATAGTAACTAATTAAGTTGTATTAAAGGCAACTCACTTAATTAAATAATATTAAAGCTAACAACACAAGATTGGTTTTGCTTAGCTCAAATTTGGTATATTGAGAGAAAGAATAATAATAGTGCCCAGACATTCTTTTTAATTTAATATGTTGATTTATTTCTTGTTGAGTATTCATACTATGTTAATTTATGAATTAATATGCAATAATAATCAACATTTTTAAAATACAATTTGGTGTTTCAGTCGATTTAGAGTAATATGATACATAAAACATTTCAAACCATTTGTACTTTTCTTACTATAACAAATCTGGCATATGCATATAATTGCAGTTTCTAGTTATGAGTTAAGACTAAGAAATTATGGCACTGAAGTCGCAAAAAAAAAAAAATCATGATAAATACATTCAAATTCAGTTTATTAAATAAAAAATATTCAACAAATGTATCAATTATAATTTTAATTGTTGATTAATTATTAATATCATATTTGAATGTTTTTTTTTTTTAATCTGAAGTAAACAAAAATTACATTTTCTATAATGTACATGTGTAATTTCAACAATTTATTATGATTTAAAATGCAGAACATCATTGTGAATGTGATATTATACTTCTTTCAACAATTTGAATACATCCTCTAATTAATTCCAATGATTTGTGGATGAGAACAAAATTAGAAATATTTTTTTAATTCATTTTAATGTTATATTAAAAAATATACAATATTATACACACATAACAACGTACATCAAGCATAAAGTTGAACCAATTGTTCGCAAAATATTTTTTCTCAAGTTGATTTAGCTTAAAATAGTTTTTTCTTAATACTACTTACTGTAAAAATTGAAACAATAATACTTTTCATTCAAAAAATATAATATTATAATAATGTGTATAATATATATTATACTCTACCACAAATGAACAGTTCATATATAAGATTTAACAAAAATATTTACAATTTGTATCAGTTCATAATGATCATATAATTAAACATACAACTACTTAAACCTAATATTAGGACTAAATCTAATTTGTAAAATATAAATAAAGATTTATTGAGAAAAAAAGCTACAGCAAGTTCAATAATATTAATACCCTGATGAACGATTGCTTTAAGTTTATAAGGTATTTGATAACAATAACATATCAAATAAATTAATGGATGAAAATCTAAATTTAAGCTTAGTTGTGTAACAATTATTATTTCATTAATATTAAAAATATATTAATACAATTTACAGCTAATAATTAGGACAATTTTTTGATTAAAAATCTACTTTGGTATAATCTGGTTGATTGTAAAGAATGTATGACATGTCATAAATTAAGGCAAACAGTTTTTGTAGTAAAAGTTATTTTAATATTTGTATTATAATTCATTGAAATGAGTTTAATTGTATAATTTTGCTCGACAAATATGGTGATTAAAGTTCATGCAGTTTTCCCAGTGAGCAATTTTGTATATTTTTTTAGATATAAAAAAAAATTATAGATTTTTTTTCAGGATAACAATTAAATTATAAATATTTTTTCAGGATAACAATTAAATTATAATAATTTAATTACAAATATTTATAATTTTACATGGATAAATATACAACACAAAACATTAAACTAAGCTTAATTGTACGTGTCTCCAAATTGAATGTAAAAATATATAACTATCATCTCTAAGAAAAAAAATAAAATAAACATATAGTTATCTTTATATAATATTAAGTAATAACGAAGTAAAAAATTATTAAACAAATTATAAATCTAAAATACACATATGTATATACTATATACTATATATCATATAATAATTTATATACAAATATATGTATGGTAGACCAGTTTTTTCCCCCATAATTTTAGTACAGGAAAACGGGAAAACACCCTACATATATGTATACATAAACATATTTAATGATGATGATATTAATAATAATAATAATAATAATAATAATAAAATAATAATTAAAATAATAATTAAAACCATTATGAGTGTAGAAAACTAATACAATTTTAAAAAAAATGCTAGATCTAAAATCTACCAGTTTTTGGAAGGAAAGTGTTTAAGCATGGATTAAAATCGTTGATAGGTGGAGTCAGATTTAAATCATCAATTACGTCAACAGTTGTACTAGACACCTATAATATAAAAACAATAAATTATAAAATGTAGATTAAATTAATTAATTCACAAGAACATTGCTATGTAGTATGTTGGTTATGAACTTATGACAAATTCATACTTATACAAAAAAAATAGAGATAAATTAAATCAAAAAAACCAAACTTAATTTTGTAACAAACACAATATAGAGTTCATATAATATATGAAGTATATTATAAGTACATGTATTTTAAAATAATACTATTTCAATATAGTTTGCAGCTGTATGACACATTCTATTTAAACTGTACATTTTATTTCAGCTTAATTTATAGTCAGTGAAAACATTTTCATGTTGCAACAATAAATTTGCTTCCATTATTGAAAGACTAATATAAGATATTAGTACTTGCACATGCATGTGTAGTCTCTGTCTTACAAAGCTTGTGCATAGTCAATTTGTGTTAATCAGGATCGATTGTGTGTTGTTATTTTTAATATTAGAGTCCTATAAATATTGACCTATCAAACTTAGAAGCAAGAAATTTATTTGTGCTTAAGTCAACTTTTTTGGCAACATTTTAATTTTTAAACATGATATGATCATAGTGTAAAATTTACAAAATTAAAATTAAAATGTTGAAAAAAAGCCGAAAATTAAGCACAAATAATGTTCTTAACTTTAACTTTGATAATAAGTCAATACACTATACCAGGGGTCACCAACTTATTTCTATGAGGGTCCGTTTTGAAAATTACAAAACTTTGCGTGGTCCAAACAGTTCAATGACTTTTACACACATTTACTACGTTTATATGATGGCGTTAAAACGGTTTAAAACTAAACCGTTTTTAAAGTTAAAACGCTCGCGCTATGTAGTTTAAGAACTTAAAACGGTTTTATTTGCATAAACCGGTTTATCAAATGTATATATACAAGTTTAGGCAAATAAAACGGTTTTAAGTTCTTAAACTACATAGCGCGAGCGTTTTAACTTTCAAAACGGTTTAGTTTTAAACCGTTTTAACGCCATCATATAAACGTAGTAATTAATAAATAGGTATTTATATTTTATAAATTTGTGATTATATTTATTTATTCAAATTGTATTTTACACACGTTAATAAATAGGTATATACATTTTTTAAATTTGTATTTATATATATTTATTTATTTATTTATTCAAATTAAAATTTTCCATGGATAAGGGTCCGTAAAAAAAGTGCTCACGGTCCGCCAGTTGGTGAACAATACACTATACTATTATAACTAACAACACGGTATCAATTCTGATGAACAACAATTTGCCATAGTGTTTGCAAGTAAAATAGAAACATGCATGGGAAGCCTGATTAACATGATTAAACTATTTATAATTTTAACATGTTTAAAGCTGTATGGCACACAGGTAATTTACATTTGATTAATATTTATTTTTTCAGTATAATTTAAGAATTGTTGGTCAAAAATATTTTTATGATACAAGATTTGTTTCCGTTATTAAAAGATTAATATCAGATATTAGTACTTGCGCATTAAGATTAAAATATATAGGATTTTAAAATGTTTGAAGCTGTATGACACAAATAATTTAAACTGTATTATTTTATTTCAGTATAGTTTATGAGTTGTTGGTCGAAAACATTTTCATGTTGCAAGATTTGCTTCCGTTATTAAAAGATTAATATCAGATATTAGTACTTGCGTTTTAAGATTATACAATTCAATATTTTATTATAATTTGTAGCTGTATGACACAAATAATTTAAACTGTATTGTTTTATTTCAGTAAAATTTAGTAGTTGTTGGTCAAAAACATTTTCATTTTGCAAGATTTGCTTCCGTTACTAAAAGATTAATATCAGATATTAGTACTTGCGCTTTAAGCTTAAAATATTTAGGATTTTAGAATGTTTGAAGCTGTATGACACACAAATAATTTAAATTGTATTATTTTATTTCAGTATAGTTTATGAGTTGTTGGTCGAAAACATTTTCATGTTGCAAGATTTGCTTCCGTTATTAAAAGATTAATATCAGATATTAGTACTTGCGTTTTAAGATTATACAATTCAATATTTTATTATAATTTGTAGCTGTATGACACAAATAATTTAAACTGTATTGTTTTATTTCAGTAAAATTTAGTAGTTGTTGGTCAAAAACATTTTCATTTTGCAAGATTTGCTTCCGTTACTAAAAGATTAATATCAGATATTAGTACTTGCGCTTTAAGCTTAAAATATTTAGGATTTTAGAATGTTTGAAGCTGTATGACACACAAATAATTTAAATTGTATTATTTTATTTCAGTATAGTTTATGAGTTGTTGGTCGAAAACATTTTCATGTTGCAAGATTTGCTTCCGTTATTAAAAGATTAATATCAGATATTAGTACTTGCGTTTTAAGATTATACAATTCAATATTTTATTATAATTTGTAGCTGTATGACACAAATAATTTAAACTGTATTGTTTTATTTCAGTATAATTTAGTAGTTGTTGGTCAAAAACATTTTCATTTTGCAAGATTTGCTTCCGTTATTAAAAGATTAATATCAGATATTAGTACTTGCGTTTTAAGATTATACAATTCAATATTTTATTATATTTTGTAGCTGTATGACACAAATAATTTAAACTGTATTATTTTATTTCAGTATAATTTAGTAGTTGTTGGTCAAAAACATTTTCATTTTGCAAGATTTGCTTCCGTTATTAAAAGATTAACATCAGATATTAGTACTTGCGTTTTAAGATTATACAATTCAATATTTTATTATAATTTGTAGCTGTATATCATCCAAGTAATTGACAATATACAATTTATTTCAGTATAATTTATATGTAATAGGTAAAAAATATTTTCCTGTTGCAAAAATAACTTCAGTTTCTAAAAGTTAAATATCAGATACTATAAAAAAATTTTGTTATAACAGACATAAATCTCCTTACAACAGAAAATAACAGTCCTGTGCTACCTATATCCGCTACTAAAGTCTCCATATAGAGGAAACACTTTTATAAGAGAAAAAGCCGTTTGCCTGGTGCAATTCCACAATTGCATTTTATATACATTTCAAGATTTTATGTAAAATGTAAATATCAGCTAATGATATTTTCAAAAGTATAATGATTTCATCATAAATTAAACATACTACTTAAAAAAACTATTAAATGTTTTGTAATTCTCATAAAGTGAGGTATAATTGTTAGAGAAAAATAATAAAATATATGACATTACTATATTTACCAATTGCTATAGATAACATTAAGCTAATTATTTTATCTAATCAACTATAATATATTATCTGAATACTGAATCAATGTGTATGTACCTCATCTGTTTCCACATTGTTATTAGGCTTTTCAGATTCAATATCAGATTTTGTTGAATTGTTATTGGCAAGAGCAGCTGCTATAATATCACTTTCCGCTTCATTGGTATTATTTTCAACAGTTGATTTTAAGACATCAGCTAAATTATTTTCATTATTTTGTACATCAACGGGAATTCTAAATCAGTAAAACAATAAATAATTAACTTAAATAAATATTTAACAATAACATGTATAAAAAAAAAAGAAAATATGAAACTAACCCTCCAGTCGGTATTGGTTCACCAGATTCATTAGTCTTGGGCTGGTTTTCTCGTACTCTTTGATCTCTTTTTCGTTTTTTGCTCCAAAGCTCATGACAATCTTGCCATGTTGGTAATGCTGTCACATCCATTCTATACATTTGATAAATATATTGATAAAATATTTATACTGATTGCCAATTTTTTTTTAGTGAAAATATTATTTGTATCAATAATTAAATACTAACTTATCAGGTTGAACATTTTTTAACCAATTGCATTTTAGAGCTTTGTCAGCGGTAATTCGTTTGCTAGGGTCTAATTCTAACATATGATCTAAAAGATCCAAGGCACTATCATTCATAAATGTAAATTCTTCACGTAACCGACGTCGATGTACTTTCTTAGCTTTTAAGGAATGCCAGAAAGGTAAGTTAATCACAGTAGGCCATACAGCCGGTGTTGGACTACCACATAAACGAGATATTGTTTCCAATTGCATCATTTCTTCGTTAGCCTATAAAATTTAATATACACATTACCACATCAAACACCACTGTCAAATTAGAAAACCTGTACATTTTATAGTTAATTTAATTTGTTACATCACTAAATTTAATAGAATTTTTCATAATGGTATGTGGGGATGTTAAAAATTTACAATGTATACACTAAATTAGCTTCTATGTAACACCTATAATTTAATATACAGTAGAATCCGCTTAAAGGAGACGCCACTTAAAGAGGACACCTGCTTAATGGGGACATTAATGACAGTCCCGAATGAATGTATTGTTTGTAAAATTCTTCGGTTAATCGGGACAGTCGGGATAGTGGGGACAAATAGGTCACTTTCCGATGTGTCCCAATTAAGCGGATTCGACTGTATATAATACAATAATAAGTTGTATATAAATTTAAAATAAAATATTACCTGAAATAAAGGTTTTTTTAAGAACAATTCTCCTAAAATACACCCACAAGACCAAACGTCTATTGAAGTTCCATACCTCTCTTCACCAAGTAATAATTCAGGTGGCCTATACCAGAGGGTTATCACTTTATTAGTGTACGGTCTTTGTCTATCTTGAGCGTTATACAACCTAGCTAGACCAAAATCAGCCAATTTCACTTCACCTCTAAAATTAAAAATAAGTAAACAATTTAGTAACAAAATTAAATAATAAAAATGTGAAAATATTAAAATCAATTCTGTAAATAAAACAATAAACAAGACTTTACTTGTTATTCATTAAGATGTTGCTGCATTTGATATCTCTATGAAGAAAATTTCGACGATGACAATAATTTAAACCTTCCAACAATTGTCGCATAATACTTGCATTATGCGTCTCATTAAAGTCGACCATTCCAGACTCTAATAATCCCATAAGATCATGATCCATGTATTCAAATACTAAATAGAACGATCCTCTATCCTAAGAAATAAAAAAAAACATGAATAATATTTATTTATCTTTAATAATGAATAGAGTTCAAATGGATTTTTATAAAATATACAATCTATAGTTTACTTTTTTAAAATCAAGGGCATCTTGTTTATCAGTTACAATTTCTCTAAGGTTAACAATATTTTTATGGTTTAATTGCCTTAAAATTTTTATTTCCCGAACAGCGGTAATTGGGAATCCTTCCTTCTCATTTTCAAGACGAACTTTTTTCAATGCTACAAATGTACCTGAAAGTAAAACAATATTTAAAAGTAATTAAACACACTGATTAAAATATATAATAGATTGAATATATACATTGTATTTTTATAAATATATTTGGTGCTGCTTAAAATTAAGTCTGAACAAATTGCATAATATATACCTGAAGTTTTATCTTTTGCTTTGTAAACTTGACCATAGGTACCTTCACCTATTTGATTTATTACTTCAAACATATCAACACACTGCTCTCCCCAATCAATAGGGTTATTGGCTGCAGCAGATTTTATATTCCGTCTACGATAAAGTACTTTAGGTCGTTTAATCTTAACATTTGGATCTAATGGACGAGAGGGCAGTTCCATGTTTGAAGTTAATGAAAAGCTTTGTGGAAACACCGATCCTAAGCCCAACATAATTGATCTTTTAATTGCACTTTGTTGATGATCGGGTAAAGGATTTGATACGATTTCTGACAAAGAAAGATTTTTATCATCATCTATCTTATCTGCATTTTGAACAAGTCCTAAAAACATTACAATAATGATTATAGGCATCAATATTTGAAATATTACAAATAACCAAAATTCGGTGAGAGTAATATTGTCCGATTGGATCATAATATTTCATTTAAGTTTAAATTACCAGTATTAACAAATCTTCAAATATGTATTAAAAATAATATAGTTTAAAAAATATATAAAACTTTTTCCATTGAATCTTGTATATTACAATGTAAATTGAACAAATGTTTTTTTTATGCATTTGTTCTAAAAATTAAAACATTTATTTTAAGTATAAATTAAATGTATGGTTATTGAGATCTAAAAGAAGTATAATATTTAAATGCAACAATAAATTACTTAGATCATTTTAATAAAAATAAATTGTCTTGAAATAATTAACCCAAATAAGAGATTTAATGAGCATTGAATAAAAATATTTATCAACTCTTTTACAATACATTATTGATAAATCCACGATAGAAATTAAAAGACTAGAGTGAAAAACGATAAAAGAAAAAAAAAATAGGATAATAATGACATTATCATCTTGTCATTTGCTTCTGAACGAATTGATATGTGAATTAAGTTGGGGAATAAAGATCACGGTCAGTGTTATAAAACAGGTTTAAATATACTTATCACAGTGTAATGACAGTCAATTACTTTAAACATTAAAAAAAACTTACCTGGTGGTAGAGGTAAATCTTTAAAGCTTTTTTTTGAACTCTTAAAATCTGAATCTGGGGACGTTTCATTGAGTATTGAAAAAACAGGCGGCAATGGCATTTTTGACAAATCTTTATTTTCTATTACTTCTACTTTTTTCTCAGGTGGAGTTATTTTGGGTGTTAATGTTACTTTAGGCTCTTTAAGTTCTACAGAATGTTCAACTCCATTTTCTATGATCTCCTCTACTTTAGCAATAGATGGACTTTGACTTATTAGAGGAATCACTGGAATGTTTGTCGTCATTTCTGTTATTGGTGAAGTAACTGATTTTACATCAGATGTTTCAACATCAGGTTTAGAAGTTTGACTGATATTTTCTGACATTTCTACTATTACACAAGAATCCACATCATCGTTCGCATTAGTTTTGTTTAATTTTGTATTTATATCATTTGTCTTAGAACTATTTTGTTCATTTTCTGAATCATCCTGTATTTCAACTACATCATTTTCATCAACAGTCTTAGTACTTATTTGTGTTAAACACTTCATGGCTAATTCCCGCATTTGCCGATCTTTTACCAACTCAGCAAAAAGACTTGTTTCACTAAGTTTTACTTTAGAATTATATTGTTTTGCTGGACTTTTTGTAGATTTTTTTTTCTTAGAAACTGAAGAATAACATCCAGGTGAATCACTATCAGAATGCTTTTTAGTAGTTTTAGAATCCTTTACTGGAGAAGACGATTTACTCTGAGTGCGGATGTTTTTAGATGGAGAACGTGAATATTTTGGTTGATTATGACTTGATTTTCGAGAAGAACGAGAATTGTGAGGTGAGGCTGTTCGCGGTATATGAGACGTATGCTTTGATGATTTTGAAGTAGTAGTACGCGGTGGAGATTTTTGACCACGTTTTGGCGAGTGGTGTGCATGATGATGATCATGTCTTGGTTGATGGGGGGAATGTGAACGAGAACGAGAATGGGAACGGGAATGAGAATGGGATTGTGAATATCCCGCTCTAGAACTTTTCACGTGTTCGTGGTGTCGACGATCTCGAATTGGACTTCGTGATAATCTAAAATCATATTCAATAAATGTTTAATATGAATTCATTCATTTCACTTTAATACTGATTAAAATAAATTTAATTTACAAAACACCACTAACATTTTTTTTTAAAAAACTATTCATCTTCAATATTATTTTAAAACTATTAGAAAATATTATATAATTTATAAATAAAACATTCACGAGTGTTTTAAATTAAATTAAATCATCCAGTCATTTAAATGAAATATAATGTATTAAGTATCACAAATCATCTTAAATTATTAAATATCTATAAATATCAAATTCTATAAAAAAAAAAAAACATTTTTTAATTGCTAGATTAAGTAAAAATGTAAAGCAATCTATACTATTATAGATTTAGGTATATGATCTATAAGATTAATAGCCTTATTGACCCAACCGCTAATAAAAAGTAAAAAAATAATCTATTCAATAATGGTATTGTCAATGCCAATATTATATCAATAATATAGCAGGACATAATAAGTGATGAGTTCTTTTTAATCGATACATCACAGAAAATATTTATTTCTCGAAAAATTATCAAAATATGTTTAAACCTAACAACGGGCGACATTTCATACAACTTTTTTAACAATAATTTTCACAAAAACTTAGAGAGAATTAAACCTTCATCGTTCTATCAAAACTATTTTATTAGGTATATTCTTTAATTGTTTCCATCTTACAAATGTTAGACATAGAAAAAAACTGTTATGCGCAGGAAAGAACCAAGAAGGCTACAGTAACAATGAAGAAATTACATTTTCACCACATAAAAAGAGAACTTTATTTTTTCGATAACATGACTTAAAAAAAGTAATTGAAGCTTGAAAAACAATAATGGATTTCACAGATAATGTTCTGAACTTTATTGTACATCAATTTGGAGTCTTAACTATCACTACAGCCTAACAGTTTTTGCTTTGTTGTACATTTTTAAGACGGATACAACACATGCGGGTGTAGCGTGTCTTCTGAAACGACTTAAATTTATAAATATTGAGTAAAACTTGAAAATTAACCTAAAGTGAAAATAACGTACCTGTGGCTATGTACTGGTGATCTATCTTTATCAGATTTAGTTTTCCGTAATCTACTCCTTTCATGTTTACTCTCGTGTTTGCTCTCATGTTTGCTATCGTGTTTGCTCTCGTGTTTGTCCCGAGTCCTACTAGACTTGAGTTCGTCAGTGTCGTATCTTTCAAACTCATCCATACGTCTTTTATGGTCCCTAAATTTGTATAGTATTAAAATAGGTCAATTGGTAATAACTATTTATCATTAATAATAACACAAACCGATTATTTTGTTTTGAAACACTTCGTGGTTGATAATTATATTTACCATCTGCAGGTTCAGGAGTACGGCTATATTCTTTTCTTATTGCCATGTTTAATAACGGTGGGCTCTTCATCCAACTTAAAAATATATTTATAAAATTAAACTAATTAAATATTTACTTTTAAAATATTAAAAATACTTCTGTGAACCCTACAATAACCAGGCCAATAAAATATTAATCAAAACCAATGTTATTTTGTTGACAAAAGTGGGTCAGATAAATTATTACCTTTTATTTTCTTTTCTATGATGTTTGGTGTGTTTTTCTTCCTCTTTATGTGTTACCTCAACTTTGGAAACTTTGATATGAGGTGGTGTTATTAATGGTGGAGTATGTGACACCTCAATAGGTGTATGCTTTTTAACAGGTTCAATAGAATCACCATTTCGTTTGAAAGGTTCCGAATTAGAACATTTAGAAAACTTCACAAAACTATTATCACAGTCTGGTAATTCATCAGATTTATGTTTCAAATCCTTCTTCTTTTTTTTCTTTTTTGTATTAGGGCTTTTAGGTTTTTTATTAGATTTTTTAGCTTTCTTGTACTTTAAACGTGATACTTCTGATGTCATGTCTACGCAATTATTTATATTGAAAGTGGTAGACATTGAAGATTTCTCTAGTACTGGATCTAGTTCCCAATGATTACTTATAGGGGAACAGGCTGCAACTAGATTTCTAGGTGACGTGACTCTAGTAATTCGAAAATTATTAGTTATTATTCTGGTAGGAGGTTTTAAACGTATGGCCCCATGTTTATCATCAAAATCACTATGTATTTCACCTGCCTCTGGACTACTAAGTTCTTCAGAACTAACATCTGAATATTGAACTAAATGTTTATTTGAAGTAATTAGAGCAGGTTTTTTGTGTGATTTAGATTTTAATTTGTGCTTGTTCTTTTTTTCTTTTGTCCTTCGGTAAGATTTTTCTCTGCTTGCTGTGCTGCATTTTCTAACCAGTGCTGGGAGCATATCTATTATTCATTCCCATTCATAGGTGTCAATTTTAGTAAAAATTACTTTATATGATATTATATATTTTTTTTTTTTTCAAAAAAAATAATGGATAATAATTTTCAATGATAAATGTCACTTGAAAGTTATAATATAAATTGTCTACAAAGATGTCTTTTGTAATCACTTACAACTACTGTATACCATTTCTTGTTTTTAATTGCTACATTTGCGTTATGTTAAGATTGTTGGGATCTGAAAAATAAAAAAACAGTTAGTTTTATAACAAAATTAAATAATATAATAATTAAAATTAAAAACATTTCTATAGGTAGGTACAGTTTAAAACAATATAATAGGTATAGTTAATCATCTTATATCAATAGCTATATTTAAAGCAACAAAATTAGCTTTTATTTGAATCATGTAAGTTACCTATTTAATAGTAAGCATTCTTATTTACTTGTACGTAAAAATGATAAATTAAATCAATTCTAACTTGGTCAAAATTGTTATGAGTTAATTAGAGAAGTATCATAAAGCTAAGTAGTTTTATTTAAACAAATCATGGGTTAGAGATATTACAAGGAAACTAGAGCTAAAAAAAAAAAAGTTTTATGATTGTACATAAAAATAAAACATGAAATAGAAAACGAAATATACATTTTTGTTAAATTGAATAATGTTGAGATGGGTTATTCAGGCAATTTGTCATTATTGTTTTTATTTAAAATTTCCTAATGAATGCCTATCTTTCTATTCATACACAGAACATTTTTAATGCTATAATTGTAGGCTGTTTCTATCATGATAATATTATTATTATTTTTTTGATTTAATTATTTGATGTATTTAGATAAAAATATATTAAAATGGCTGGAAATATCATAGTATTTCGATAAACATGATACTGGACACAAGATTGACAGAATTATATCCTATAAAGAACTTTTATTTAATTAATATATTAATAAGTACCAAAATTAAAGATATGGTTGCCCAACGAGACCCCCAAAGTATCTTCAACTTTTGACCGATAAGAATTGTATTACTGTCTATTAGTCTATTATAACTTGTAGCAGTAAAATATACCGATGTGTGGTGATAATATAATGAGAGAGCTAGTCGTATATTCTTATCAATAGTTTATCGCAGTTTATCGAGGACACTTCGGGAACCACATTCAATGTTCTCATCATAGCTCGTTGGGCAACCATTATAATATCTTTAATCATGATAACCTAATAATATATTATTTTTTTAAAAATTGTTTGTCATTTCAAAATTGATTTGCATGTTATGTATGAGTTAATATTTGAACGAAAAATGTATCAAGTTTTTACATAATAATTTAAAAAACTACTTTTTAATCTCAATAAATAAATATTAAGCCTAACATGTGGAAACTTGGTCCTAATTTCATTATTGATATTTATATTTTGAGAGAAGGATTGTATAATATTGAAAATTTCAGAAAGCATTTACTAATTTAATATTAGTGATAACAAATCACTAGGATATACAATAATCTACAAAAGGTAACAGTAAACCTAGAGCAGTAGTCATAGGCTACATAATATTGGTAGGCATAATACATACTATTACAATAATTCGATCGACGAATAGAAAAAATCGCCAAGACCCAATAATAATATATAGGGAAATTAATGTTTCATTTAATAAGACTGAAATAAAATACAGATTAATGGTCAAGAGTAAAAATGTTTGCATTTCAAATTATTATTTATTCAAGTCAGTACAAAAAAATTATGAATAAAAAATATATATGAAATCAAAATCACACAAAGAAAATAAATACACACAATAGGTTCTAGGTATATTATTCTAAAAATATATCTACCTAAATTTAAATTGAATAATGGTGATGCCTAATTTAATTTTGTGTACCTATAACTAATATAAATATATAAGGAGGTAGGAACTTCAACAATTTCAAGTTAACACTTTGAGGAGCAGCCTTGGTATACGTAAATGCAATTCAGGGAATGAAAAATTGGAAAAAAAATTATGAGCGAAGATGTTTAAGTACGTTCTATTTTAATAGGATTGATAAATAAAAATAAATCAATTGATTGAAATTAAACTTCACAGATGGCAGCACATATTTTATATAAGGTATTTTTACGGTAATGAAACATAAACAAATAAATTAAAAGGAATTTGTGGTAAAAACGTATATATAAGTCCATGCTCTTTTTGACAGTTTATTTTAAAAACGTATTGTCCATGTATCCGTGTTCCTCAAAGGGTTAAGAGACGGTCATACCTGCCATGTGTTGTCTCAGTCTTACACACGTACAACATACATGACAAGTTTTCGTTTACCAATTTCATTTGTGCGCTGTTAGTTTTGATATTAGAGAGAATTGACCTATTATAACATTTAAAAGTAAGATTATTATCTAAGTAGGTACGCTTAAAAATAACAATATAAATAAAAGCCTAAGTTGTTCCCTAGATCTTACCTTAAAATGTTATAAAAAGTATTATCAAAACTAACAGCACAGTATTGCAAGTTGCAACTGGTTAACAAAAATTTGGTATGTCCGTATGTTGTATGTGTGTAAGTGTGTAAGACGGAGACCACACATGTGAGTACATAATAGTCTTTATTGTCATACGAATAAATAATAATAGTGTTTATTATATTTTTAGTACCTAACCCATATTCATCATACATTCAAAAAATAATTGCATTATTAAATATTTTAGAATCTAGATAGATCGTTTTCATTCAAGACTCAACTCTAAAAAGTTTTAGTAAATAGTCAACATTTGCATTATCTTTAAAACATATTTTTTTTTTAATACTTTTTAAACAGCTTTATTTTTTAGTTTAAATGATTTTTACAAAAAAATTTATTTTATTTTTATAAATAATTTATTTATAATGACCTATTATTATTTTTACACTCCATACTGTATAAAACAATATACTAGGGGTTGAGTAGTTTGAAGTGCTGAGGAAGCTGTATTTGACTTACCAAAATTTAAGGCAAAAATAATTTGTATTCTCTCATAAGAAGTCAATTTACTTACAACTAAATAGTTAATAAGCGTAAGATAGAACAAATGTGGGTGTATATCTTAATCATTTTAAGTGCCAACAAATTATGAATTAATAATATTTAAAACAAAGTTTATCTAGCAGAACTAAACTAATATTAAAGAATTTGATTATCTTCAAACATATTATACTTAGTATCCACACATTCATAATATTTTGATAAGTAAAAAGTATATATCAAAAATATGTATGTACCTACTTACCAGCTATCTTTTATATATAATTACATTTAGGTTATTTGGTAATTTATATTAGTATAGGTAAGACGTATTAAAGATTAAAATTATTTTATTAATTTATTTCATTATTTATTGTAGCTACCCGGTAACATTTTACAGAATTAATGTTTGTTAAAATACTTAGAACCAATCTTACATTTTTACATTTTGGTAGTAATTCAATAAAATGCATAGTATCTTTTCTACACTACATCGGCAAATGTATTATAGTATAATAATTAGGTATACAGATAGCACAAAATTCTCCGTGTGACGGAGAATGCCAGTGTATTTAATCAGAGGAAAAACTAATAAAATATGATTCAATATGATTCATTTAGAATGGTTCTTACCTCGGTATTCCAGTAGGCATTCCTCGTATAGTCGAAAATCCCAGTTTGTTGACTGCATAAAATATAAAATAATAAAAGGTAATTGTAATTTAAAATCGCCGAATCCGCGGTTTAGAGCGAGATGAAAAAAATGCAAATACGTATGAGTTATCGTATTCGGGACTATTTTATATATTTGTAATTTAATATAGCGTATTATATGTGCCTAGATTAGCACATGACTGACGTTCGAAAAAAAATGTAATATAAAACGTTATGATCGCGATTCGCGCGTGTCGACATTGTAATAATGCGATTTAGCCTTTTGATGTGTTAGCGTTGCGATTCCGGTATTACGAGAATAACAATTCCGAATGATAACCACCACCATTTGGTTTTTGGTTACGGGCGTTCGGTCGTATTTCGACGATTAAAATATTAGTGAAATCGCATAATCGTGCGTTTCGTGTATCAATGGTGTTCCCTATTGAGGCAATGAGACGACGTACACGACGGAAAATCGGTTATCAATGATCACCGCTGGCCGACGAATGGGAAAAAAGAATCGCCGAGGCCATTTTCAGCAGTTTGGTTTTTTTTTTCCCGAGTTCCGTTTCATTTACCGAGTCTTTGGAAGTTCTTGAGACAGTTCTACCGATGCGCGCACGACAAATGTTCACCGTCACCGGTCGGTGAAAATATATTTTCATGTGGACGTTGAAACTGCGATGACTATTACAGCAGTAGTTGTACTATACCCATAGACAAGCAGTCTTGTAAAGTATTCGAATATAAGTATTTTAATACTTGTATTTAAATACTTTTTGAAGTATTTATATTATATTCTAAATACATTTTTTTTCTATGTATTTTAAATACTTTTTAAAAGTATTTTTACCAAAATTTAAATACTTGTATTAAAATACCATAAAGTCCGTCTTATTAATTTTCATTTATTATTTTTCAAAAACAATTGACATCAATACAAATAATATTGTTTTCGTTGAAAACTAATATTATGTTTTTGTATATCTAGTAAAAGTAGGTAATAACAATGTTTAAAATTTAAAAATACCACATCAAATTTTATATAGTTTCGCTGTATTGGAATTTTTTAAGAAAACTGAAAATCTAATAATTTTAAAATAGTTCCATATTAATAGTAAGTTAATACCACTTTTTATTTTATTTTTTTATTTAAAATTTAATCAATATGTTTAGTTGAAATATATTTGAATGCAGAATGAAATATGTGGAACATATACAAGCATGTATTTATCTCTATTAGTCAGACATGTTATAGTAATTGATAAAATCTGTGGAAAGTAGTAACACAATGGGTACCTATACTGGTGTATAAAATACATATATATTATATAG